CTATTTTCACCTTTTTTTCTCCCCCTTATATTCTTTCCCCCTCCTATATTATTTTTAAGTAATCAAAGTCTGAATTATTGATCCCTTCTCTAGCAAAATAACCCTGTGCTCTGCATTTTGTCACAGGTGCAGGAAAGCTGCTGCCATGGAACTGCTCTCCTGCAGTGTGACATTGCCTGCAGCTCACAAGTCACCTTTCTTTCCTCTCCTACGTTGTTGAAAGAGAAGCCCCAGTGAGGCCTGCCTCATTTTACTCTCTCTCATGTCAGATACAATAATATGTATACATGTTGTTTTGTGATGTAGAAATTTAAAAAATCATAACTTTCCAATTACTTGCCCAAATTTTCAGTTGAGATGTCTCAGATAGGATTTCTTTCTCCTTTTCACAAACACCTGCTATACACAATGAGGCAAAGAAAAAAAGGACTGGAGTCTGTCTGAGGAAATTTAACTTTTTTTACTTTTAAATCTAGCAGGAAAAAAGGACTAAAATTCAGGTCTTGTTTCTTTTTTTTTCACTTTCATGTATGTTGAACCTTCTATTAAAAACAATACAACAAAGAAGATCAAAATGAAACATAAAGAGGAAATGTTCTTTCATTTTCAATCACAACAAAATTGATGGTATTTTTCACTGCAAGAGCTAAATTCCTCCTACTTCAGACTGAAGGATTTTTTTTCCAAACTCAAATGGCACATTTATATGTATCTCCCATAAATTAGGGGACCATGTACGGGTTGCTATTGTTCAAATGGTGTTACTTTATTTTTCCAGTGAGATGGTTATGGTCTCCTGCTGTCCTTCAGCCCTGTGTGCGAGCTAAGTACCAAGTTTATTTTCCCTCAGAAGTTTCTCACTAAGGCAAGCTAGGAGGGGCAGCCTGTTTGAGTACCAATGAAAGGAAAACAGCCTTCAGGTTTTAGCATACAGGAACACAAGCAGTAGTCTAATTGCTTAGAAGGCTGAAGGTTTGCTCTTGAGCATGGATCCAAACCTCACACAAACACAAGGCCCACACAGATGTCCAACAAAGTTCCCAGAAGGGTCTGTGATGATCTGCAATGGAGGATGAGTCAAATGTTAAGGCAGTAGAAGAATCAGTCACTTGCCTTTATAATTCATCCTTTAACCAAAGTTTTGTTTTAAATATGAATTTTCTCCCAGTCCTTACTTCATTTTTCTCCCCTTCCACCTGAGTTTTAAAACCCAGTTTTATCTACAGAAATGAGAAGTCTGTAATCATCTCAGTTCTGTGACTATACCTGGAAGTTAGTCAGTCTCCAGGCCTGAAACAAGAAGTAGAGTTCTAAGTACGTGTCTCTGCCCTGTAGTTGTAAGATAACTCTGCCCTTTTCATGGGATGCCAAATTATTGCTCCTTGAGCAAGAGCCAGCATCCCAGGAAGAGCTCAGCCTGAGCCAAATCACCACTTGTGCTTGCTGCTTACTCTGTGGTGATAACCTCTGGCTCAAAACCACATTTGTGGCACTCAGCTGTAGAAGAGATGATGGGCTAAATTGCTTCCTGAGTGGCACTCACGAATAAATATTTGAACTGATCAAACAAAAAACAAGACTCTGAAGCAACAGCAAAACCAGCAATTAGTTTAAATTTGTCATTGAAAACGTAAATTTTTTTGAGGCTGAAAATAGTTCAGCTACAACATTTTTGCCAAAAGCCAAAGCACATGATATGATCTGTTTTTCAGGATTCAGCAAAGGGAAAGAAGGTAAAACAGAGGAGATCACGGACCCAGCAGTGCCTCCATTTCAGCCCCGAGTCTGTGGTGTTGCCTTGGTTCCAGGTGCCATCAGGACAGTGACAGCACTTCAGCCTCCTGACAGTGTGGGGTGAAAGCGCTGGCGAGGAGCTGTGGTGCTGCACTGAGACCAAAGCCCCACCTGGAGGGGCCCCCTCAGTGGTTTCAGCTTCATACTATGGTACCCACCCCACCTTCAGAACTGGGGGCAGGGAGCAAGACTGCACTTGCAGGACATTTTGAGCACCACCACTAACACAGCAGGGATGTCTTTTTCTATAGAAAGAGATGTATTAAAAGAAACAGGGGTCTGGACAGCATAAAAACCCCACAAAATGCTCTGTACATAGACTCCTCTCTGGAGGTGATTTTATGCTCTAAGCCCACTCATCTTTTAAGCTTCCGGCTGCAATGAGAAATAAATCAAACTTTTTCACAGATGTTATTAAGATCATTAACATGAAACTGCCATTCTGGTGCTGAAATCCAGGTGTTTTGTTTTATGCAGTTTCAGGTGGGTCATGTGCTTATGAGCCTGGGCCCCAGACTGGATTTTAAGTGCAGGTCCTCTGAATTGCTACCTCGTGCCAGGCAAGTACTTTCCTGTTCTTTTTGTGGATTTGTAACTTTCCCAAAATTCTCCAGGGGAGATTCAGATTACCTGGCATTGGGCTGCCTTCTCTTTAAGGATCTCTGCATGGCTCTCCACATCCCCTAGGGGAACATAAATGCAAACCCACTGCCTGTCAATGCCTTCCAAAACCCAAGACCTTGGAATTAAACTTTTGCAATATTCAATTATATTGCATCAAGCAATATGTACAGAAAACCTTTTCACAAGTGAAACATTCTCAGAATCATTTAGTAAGTCAAGCTACCTTTTATTTTAACAGCATGGTTAGTATTTTTCGCATAATATTTAGGTGTGAAATCATTAGCATGAATAATTCAGTTATGCTTTTTCATCTTTTTTATTCCTATTCACACTCTCCATTAACAAAGAAAACCTGGTGAGCAGAGTGCTGCAAGAACAGTAAATGCATGAGTTGAAAAAATAAAATATATATATGCTGAAGCATTTCTAAGAGTGATTTATTATCCATGAAGTACAATATAATTACAGCATCTGTTGATTATAACTTTGTTGTTATAGTTTCTTTGACCAATTTGTTAAAAACTGCCTGCACATAATGTGTTTCTTGTACAAAGCAAATCTGAGGAACAGAAAATAGCACTGCTGACATTATTATGATAGGGCAAGGAAAATAATGTAAAATGAATTTACTAAGAGTTTAGGATGTACCAAAATTATCACTGCATCCATTTAACTCACCATTTAAATCAATTTGCTTTATTCTTCCACCAGATTCTTGCCTCATTCCCTGCTCTTGACCTTTCTTCTCATGCCTTACACTCTCTATTTAATATTTTTTTTACATCTTTCTCATTCATTGTGTGACCTCAGTGCCTTATTTGCTGCACCACTCTGACTCTCTGTGGATGAAAAACTTACTAATGCCGTCAAAGTAATTTATTGGTAGTTGGTTGGTTTTTTTTAATTATTATTTGCTGTTTTTCTTTTTTTAGGTCACAGTATTTTAAGTTCACTTGTCAAACTACTGGGATAATAAATTTCCCAATTAAGCAGGTTTAAATTACTTGTATGACAGATTAACCTATGAGCTTGCCCCCCAGAATCTTCCCTATAACTGACAGAAGAGTTTCTCTTGGTATATGTAAAATGTGGCAAAGCCATAAGCTGCTGATAACAGGTTCCTGTAACTGACAGTGGTGAGACTAGCACTGCTGGGTTTGGAGGTTCAATTACATCAATAATCTCCAGTTAGGAAAAACCGGTCTTGGCATTTGTAATGTCCTGTATTTTTTGTAGTATTGACTATTCCATCCATCTTCTAAATATATTTCAAAGAAATGACACAATTTGAAAACCAGCTGATTTGATGGAATGGCCCTATCCTTATATTCCTATGAGTCACTGTGCAAGGAAAGTGATCTTTTTTCAATATATTTTTGTCTTTAGGAAACATTAACATTTAACTATATTTATGTGAACATGGAAATTAAACCTTTCTCATTATTTCATGTTGGTTTTTAGAAAAGTTACAGCTGGGCTTTTCCTTTCATAACTGATTACTAGCTGATTTTTGGCTCAAATGCCAGGAAAAAAATCCCCATTATTTGTTTGGTTAATTTAATTGAGTTGCACTGATTATGCTTTTGAAAAGACAACTGTGAAGCCAATATTACAATAATGTTAGTTGATGGAAATTAATTAATTCTAATTTTTAGGTTAATTAATGAGAGTAACTTTATTAGGGGAAAGGGACATTCAGGCATAGATTAAAGAAAAAAAATTGAAACCCTGATAAAATCAAATGAGATTAAAATCAAATGAGCCATAGGGTGGCTAAACATGTGGGAGCATAGCATCAGCTCTGTGTAAAGCAAGAATTTTCCTCTTTTAAAGAGGAAAGGAAGGGAAATTAGGAAGGATAATTTTGTAGGGGTTTATGGTAACTGTTCAAGGTTCAAGGCTTAGGGTCCATACAGAGCCATCACTTATCCAGCTGGCAGAGAGGGCAGGACTATTAACTGACTTTGTGTTTCACAGAGGCTTTGCTGGGCACAGCACAAGTGTACTGGACTCCATTCACCCACGTGAATGAAGGGCTTTAACTGTTGGTTTATGATTGTGCTGGGAGTGAATACGTCTGGTCTATTTTTAACAGCTTTGTGCCAGAGAAAAAGATGTTTTCTTTTCAAGGCTTTTCAAAATAGAGAGACCTTAAAAATGTACTTCACTTTATCAGCTGACAGTGCTCATGCAAACAGAAATGAGACAGGGAAGAACAGGAAGGTCAAACTTGCATAAACACACTGTTGCATATGCTGACTGCCAGGAGAAAGAACAGTGTGCAGCTGAACTGAATGCATTATGCAGAGAAGACAGAAGATGCTACTTTGGCAAAGTCAAATTTCTCTTTTATGCAAGCTCCCATGGGATAAAGCTTAGAACTACTATTTCTTTTTAGTAATGTAGGAAGCATAAACTAAAATAGATTTTTATGAATCTGGTATGATGTTTTTAATGACAAAGGCAAAAGGGGCTTTTGAATGTCTTTGTTTCAAAGTACATCCTATATATTTTCTGTTTCCACCAGCAAAAAGCTAAATTTCCTAGCACCATCTTTCTAATAAAACTCTATCTCTTTTCAGGAACCCCACTTGCTGCTGCAGAGAGGCATCCACCAGAAGCTGACCTCCTTATCTTGAATTTCACATGTAATGAGTAGCTAAATCTGACACCAAATTATTTTAGGAAGAAAATTCAAAGTCAAGCCATTTCCTTTGAAAAAGCCATTTGAAACCTTTGGGGAACAGATATGGAAACATAATTTAAAACTCATTTCCCCACACAAGTGATTGGGATTAATTTCAGTAAATCCGGTGTTTACTATGCACAGAACATCTCCTCTCTCACCACAAGCCCTGGACACTTTGGACTACTCTTTCATTGGACTACACTTTCAAAAGTGCTCCCTCATTCTGCTTGTGTAATTCAGATTTGGTTTTATCTGCAAGAAAATGTCTCTTCAGTTACTGAGCCTGAGCCTGCTGCGGCTGAGGGAGAAATGCCTGGCCTGGGCTGTGCCACAGGGAAGCAGCAGCACTGCAGTCCCAGCCCGACCCATGCCAGGGACAGCACCTCTGCTGACCATACTCAGGGGCTGGGGGAGAAGCTGTGCTGGCTGGCACCAGCTCTGTTGGAAAGCACTGCTTGCATTTGGAATGCAAAGCAGACATGATTTCAGCACCTGATCTCTTTGACAACAAAGGCTGTAGAAGATTAGAAATACTTAGATTTGCACTTCATTAAAAAATGCATTTCCCTCTGTAAAAGGAATTGGTTTTCTTAACTCATTTGCCTTGCTTCTCTCTAGAGTGTATTTGCATTTGTGCCTTCAGTGTATTCCGGTAGTTCTATGAACTGTGGATTTTTTTTCCCACCAATTAGTTAATCTGGGGCTATTTTATTGAAGTCTTTTTGGCATTTAAAATATGTAGATGACAACATTAATCCGATTAAAGTTTACTTAAAGTTGATAATACAAAATGTAAAAAAGCAGTGCAAGGTACAATTACTAACATAATTATTTTCATTATCAATACAATTATATTTTTCAGTTGTTGCTTGCTTAACCTTTTTTTTTTCTCTCCATTTTTTTCATTAGCTCTAATCTACTGCTGTGAGAGGCAGTTCTCTGCTTCTTCAAGCAGTATGAAGGTAGAAGTGGACAGAACTATTAGCAGAGGGATAAAAGTCTTTTATCTCTTTCTGTCTGGCTGAATTCCAGTGAAGTAAACTCAGCCAGCAGGACTGTTCATTTCTCTAGGGGGATGAGCAATTGGGGTCTCAGTTTATTTTCCAGTCCTGAATGGTTCCACTGAAAAATCATGACAATCTATAGGCTTGTAGGTATTATCAGGAAAAAGAGCCAAAACATACCATTTCATCCCTGGAAGTGTCCCAGGAATTATTTTAAAGGCCCACTCTATTCTGTTTCACTGGCAGGCAACCAGTGGCATTTCATCAGTACAATAAAGCAGCTCTTGCACCTGGGCTGATGAGCAGCAAAATAAGTCAATGCCTTAAGAACTGCAAAGTGAAAATGCTGCAAAAAATGATGAGGATGTGATTTAATACAGGCATTCAGAGTAAAGAGGTAGGTTTAATTTTAATGAGAAAGAGAGGAAGAAGCTCATGGGTGGTTTACATAGGTTAATTCTCATGTGACACTGTTCTCCAAGGGAATTGATTTATTTTGACTTGAAACTGGGCTGCGTCTTATGGCACTTCCCTTTTTGTCCATTCTAAAGGAGTGATCATGGAAACACTGTGAACTGGTGAAGTCTGAACTGAAGGAAACTGCTTGCTTTGAAGCCCACGAGTGCACATGAGTTCCCACACCTACACTAAGCTACAGTTGGGACTATCAGTGGATGATGTTTTTTCCTCTGGGATTTTCATGTTGCTTTGCAGGCAGCACTCACTTGAACTAATGAAAGCAGATGCTTCCAAACCTAAATCTATATCCCTAAGGGTAGCAATTCAAAGTTGAACTTCTTGATGTAAATTAAGGAAGACTTAATTCAAAAGGCTTGTATATGTAAAATGTTTCATCCACATCTAACCCTGGGATTTCTTCATTTCTCAGTTAAAGGAGCAGTTTAAGAAACTAGAATTCTGTTCTTACTAACACCATGTCAGAACAATGTGTTTTGTGGCATCATTTTCATCCTGTGTATTTGATTTGATCATCTATGAAATGAGTCTGTAATAATAAATTCATTTTTGGGTTTAATTAAATTCTACAAATCCTTCAAAATTTCCATTTATTTATGTTTGCATGTGCATGGTTCTTTGTCTTGCTTTGGTAAAGTGTCTCCTAAACTGCATGAGGCTGCAGTTTGTGAAATGCCTGGGGAGGTGGCTATGTCAGTTGAAATTAGGGTGAATTGTGCATGAAGCACGTATTTTCCTCATAGACATGATCTCAGCATCAATGAATAAAAAATATTTGTGCAGGCTCTCCCAATGGGAAGCAAGTGAATGGAAAATGAGAGCTGCTCTTAATCTGTGTGATACCTTAAAAAAGCACACAGGAACCAATTGGGTCTTTCAGGCACAATTAAGGGTTGCAGAGTTCCCCTCAAGAAAACCCAGTGTGCAGCTGTCATTCAAAAACTCAGCTCCCAGGCTACCTGAATGAAAGGCTGAGGCCCAACACAGCATTAGAGAAGCAATGGAGGAGAAGACAGCAATCAGAAAGGTTTATTCTCTAAATGAGCAGCAAAAGCCCATTAAATATTAAAATGATGACCATACAGAACAGCAGATTAATGTACAGTTCTGAAACATGAGTCCTGATCCAGTGCTTAGCATGTGTGCTGGATAAAACCTTGGAGCCTTATTTTTGCATAGATTATTAAAGATTGTATTAATTCCTGTAATGCCTAGGAAGCTACTGTGACTGACTTCTTATCCTAAAACAGTTGGCAGGATCTAAAGTTGAATCCTGACAAGACTACAGTAAAACCACCATTGGGAGGTTTTTCAATCCCTTTTCTGGCACACAGGACAGTTCCTGGCCTCTGCATGCTGCCAGTGTTGTACTCATTGATTCTGCCCTTCTAAGCAAAAGGAGCATGGTCCAAGATTCACACATTTCTGAGCCTGGGAGCCCATTCACCTATTTCCCAGGTACTCCACAAAATGTGGATGTCCAGTGTGGCCAAGGATATAACACATTCCGAGTGAATTATGAGATGCTGTTAAACAACACTTTAGTTCTGTAACTTGGGAGGGGAAAGGTGTCTAATTAGTAAGAAAAAGAACAGAAGGAAGAACGAAGAGATAACAATAACGAGGCAAGGGAGGAAAAAGGTGCTTAGTAATGCCCATGATGAATACAAACACATGAAAGCAACTCAGGAATAGGAAACCCCTAATTGAGCTTTTTTTTTGGTGCCACTATGTTATTGTAAACAGCTGAAGGGAAAGCTTTTTGAAAGAAACAAGCATGGATTACAAGAGAAGAGGAAACAATATTCATGAAGCATTTAATGATCATCAGGCTTCCTAATGCAATGCCTCATCCCAAATATTAAAAATGCTTTGAAGTCCGACAGCTGCTGTCTCTTCTTCCTCTCCAAAAATGTGGTCTTCTAAAGATAGCATGTTATCCAAAAGAAGCATACTTCAAAAATTTTAAAAGTTACCATAGAGAGTTTCTTTCAAGTTATGTCAATTAGTTTGATTTTGTAATTCTAATAAAAGAAGTCTATAGGTCCAAAGTCAGCTATTAGCAGTTTTTGTTGTGGTACATCACATGTAGTCCCTCAAACATGGGAGAGGAAGGAAAAAACACAAGTCTGAGATGACACTGGATATCAATCATCCTCTACCAGGGAATTACCAGAAAGTAATCTCTGACTAATGTTTGTGCCAGTGAAACAATCTCATGGAATACACTGATTCATTCAGATGTCAGCCCAGTGGTCAATCCTTATTAGTAAATCTGTAGCAGCAGAATGTCTTTTCTCTGAATATGGTGACCAAACCTAAGCTCAGTACACTGTAGTTTGAACAGAAACCTGCTAAAAGAAAATACTATTTCTACTCAAAGATTTAATAATTCCCAGGGCAAATACCAATAAAGTACCTATGAATTGCTTAGGAATAGTTTAAAAAAAAACTCTAGAAAGAGCAGCACTTTTTCTAGCTGAGAAATGTGTGCCAAATATTAAGTCTACTGTGGAAAAGTTTGTCAACCCCAGCATTCAAGTGAAATTCCCCTGGTGCTTTCCAAAACTGTGGTTGAACAAACCAGCAGAACAGCGAAATACTCAATGTCCAGAAGTTCCTAAAACCGGTGCTTCTGTAAGGCATCCAAGTACTGGGACATGAGACTGGGAAATCTGCTGATCTGCAGAGTGCTGGCTCATCCATCACCTGCTCCCTGCACGTGTGTTCTGTCAGGTGAAGAACAGGTGTCAAATTCAAGTTGGCAATTCCTTTCATTGTAAGAGGGTAGGAGGAGACTGGAGGGCCACTCTTTACTCTGAGGAAAGGTCTGGCTGACTTTGCTGCTAGGCAGGCTGGACCAGCCCCAAAACTTCTGGAGAAAGTGTTGTCAGAAAGATGGGCCAGATGGTTTGTATTTAGAGTGATGGACTCTGGATAAATAATGGCATTTGAATCCAGCAGATGCATATAATTAAAATTACTTAATTTAAAAGGTGTGGAAAGGAAGTAGAGGAGAAGCGGGCTACTAGCTTTTTTTCACAAACAATGCCCTCTTTAAGAAAATCTTTTTTCCCTTAGCCTGTCCTATTAATGTTTAGTTTCCTGCTGTTGAATGTCTGCAGAACAGCAGAAGGCTCAAAATCACAACTTTTTTTTGCACTGTGTTAACACCATGTTAATCTCAGGCCTCCATGTTTCTCTAAGGTACCCACGGGAGATCAGGAAGACTTTTTAATGTATTTATTTTTACATTCTCTTTGGCTTTGCAATAGTATTTCTACTAACTTCCGCAGCATTGTAGTTTGGCTTTAGTTTCAGGTAGGATTTTGGCAAGGTATACAGAGTAATCTGCACTTGATGTATTATGTTTTTCACACAAGGGGAAAATCTGAATTCTGTGGAGAATGTGTGTTAGTAAGCTGACAGGAAAACCAAAGAGCATGAAATTCAGATGTGTTTGGTTGGTGTTTTGTTAATCCACTTAGCATAAAGCCAAGCACAGATATGTAGCCAAATGGGAATTGTCTCCACATCAGATCATGAGCAGGTATTAAGGTTTGTTTTCTACCCTTTTCTACAGACTGAGATATGATATTACACCAGGCCCACCTGGGAGCTTTATTTAGGAAAACTACTGCTTTTATAGGGATGTTATTAGCCCCAGGATTCTATTATTACTGTTTCATTTGTGTGAAAATACAGCACATTTGGGCACAAGGCAGTGTGCCTCCCCCACTGTGTGATGATGCTTGGACTTGTCTACAGGAGACATTTCTGGCATTTTTAACAAAAAGCTTTGGAGCCAGGACGCTGTGGGTCAGGAAGCCCCTTTTGACTCTGTGCTCCTAAACCACTGCAGTCTGTGGGGCACAGAATCTACCCAGCAAACAGAACAGGCAGCAAAAGCCTCTGTGAGCACAGGCAGGGTTTCTAAGCACAGCCCAGACACCAGGCAGACCTGTGCTGGCACACACGGGCGGCTGAGTGCCGGCAGCACAGCCAAACATGAGAGGCTGTGCCATTTTGTGTGTGGAAACCCAAGTACCAACAAGGTCAGATAAAGAGGTTGTGGCTGAGTGATGCCTCAGTATTG